AAGGCAGGATTCGTCGCAGCCCTCACACGAAAACCCTCATCATACTCCATCTATGCATGCCCTGTAAAACCTGTAAAGGCTTTATAAATAATATCCAGGTATTGCAAAAGCGCCAATGCCCTCCAAGGCTGGTGGTGCACAATCACACCTGCATATATAAGGAAACCCGGGAGCCAATTGGCCCAGGTCCTGTCGACCCTCCGTCTCTTAATGCACTCTTTTTCTCTATCAACCAGGTCCTCCCTCTCCTTCTTGTCCATTTCCCGAAATAATAGACTGAACACATCTACATACCTACCCTTAAGAATCTTTTCCCTAGTAGCCATAGAAAGATGATCTCCCAAAGGCAGAGCTATATCCCCCTCAGGTAAAACCGTGGCAGGGACTTGCTCATAAGAAGAGCCCCTTGGAGTTGGTGGGTACCACCCCCCCCTGCCCGGCATAGTGAGGAGGACCACCGGCCACTGTGGGTGGCACAGAGTGCCAGGCAGCAGGTGATGGAGCAGCCCCAGCTCCAGATGAGGTAACCATGCCTGAAGGGCCCCGATGTGCCCTGATCACCTGGACCCCATGGCCATGATGTGTCCCTCTGTGTGCCATCGCTAGCCTTACCCTCCTGTTCCGCAGGATGCTTCGGACCCGTGTACACTTCCAGCTGTTGACTCCCTTCGGCTTCCGGCCCAGACCCGGTATCCGTGTCAGCTGCCGCCGAAGTGGATGAGTGACTATCCTCGAGGAGCACCAGATGTGCCAATACCTGCGCTTGAAAAGAAGAAATATCAGGCTTCTTAGACTTTTTGGGCTGAGGCGGAGTGGGAGTCTCCTGCTGCGGCCTAGCCTTCAGTTTCTCAAGGGCTTCTAACCTGGCTAAAATGACCGCGTTAATCAGGTCACCCTCCTCACCCTCAGAATTCTGTGGTGCGGGTCTAGTTGGGGGTTTCCTAGGCACTGGCTGTTTGCCCGAGGCCTTGCCCTGACCTTTCATAGGAGCCATTGCTCTGGATGGTGGAATTGCCTACTGGAAACTGAAATATTTCTCTCCTTGCAATCCCTTGCTCCCAAACTGCAAGGTTGGTGGGCTGATGCCTGAGACGGGGACTCACTCCGTCCTGCAGCCCTCTGGTCCAGAACTATGGAACTACAGACCTTCTACAGGCCGCAGTTCAGAGTCTTAACCCCTTGAGCCTCCGTAGCATCAATGCGGGATGTAGCAGGCCCGAGCTCAATACCCCCTTGTAAATTCTTGCCCCCTTAAGCTGCAGAGTGAGTGCTATTCCATACTTTCAGACTGCCGGGGTCCGGGATGGGTGCTCGCTCCGCCACGTGGCCCTGTGATTCCAACAAAGGATGTGCTCAGGCCCACTCACAGTGCCACCAAATTGGTGCCTGCAGCAGCAGCTGCTCTAAAGCCCAATGTCACCAGAGGGGGGGGCACCCCCGGGAACTTGTAATGGCCAGTAGTGGCCATCCGGTGACCCACGCGGAGAGGGGTATTCGACGGTGCAAGATGGTGGGGGGAGGGGGTCCCTTCGTTGAAAGAAGGCCAGGCGTACTAGGCTGAGGAACTGTAGCTCCTGGCCAAGGGAAGCTCACTGTTGAATGCCGAACTGGGGAAATAACTCGCTGTTGAATGCCGAACTGGGGAAATAACTGAGACCCCACGGCCCCCTGCCCCTGGGCATCGTTGCGAGCTCCCAACCAACCCGACCCGAGCTTTGCAACCCTAGAGGCCCTTGTCCTCTAAGCCCCGCTCCCGCGACTCAACCGGCCCCCACCACCGGCTAGGTACTCCCTGGCCTCGATGCCTCCTCATTCTGGCCGCCAGCGCCACGAAGCCACCTTGACCTCAGCCGCCGCACCGCGCTCCGCAGACGTCGGTGGGCAAGTCGCCCGAGCAATTGCCCTCCCACGCTGCTCCTGCTGCCGCCTCAACCGCCCAGCCCGCCGCGCAGATCGGGAGACAACGCCAACGGCAGCCCTCGTCTCGTTGTACCGGCTCCAGCGAGCACGAGGCAACAACTGCTCAGGGTGGGAGTGGAGCCAAGCCTAATCCGGCAGGCTCCTCCCACCCACGTCCCAGCGCGCTGCGCTAGGACGCTGTTGCCGCCCCGCCCTCCTCTGCGGCAAACAAGCTCCCGGTCGCCATTGGCTTCGGCGGCGACCGGGAACTCCCTTCTGTTCAATGTGAATGGTCCAATGATGTAGGCGATGCCCTGGTAAAATGACATTTTTTTCTCTTTCTGCTAGCATAAGTTAATCGTAGAAAGTTTATGAGACCAGTAGAAAGCCCAGAATTGTGACATTATACCTATTCAATGGTTTTTGCAACCCAGTTTGAATAGTTACTTGTCAACACAGCAGATCTTGAGATTAGACTGTCTAAAGCAATGTTTCCCAACTAGTGGATCCCAACCCAAAAGTGGGTCATGAAGCCTGTAAAAGTGGGTTGCAGGCTTTTGTATTTTTTTTATTTGTGCCTGTTTTTTTTTAAGTGAGTCAGCATGACAAATAAATTTGGATTTGTGAGTCACTGTACCAAAAAGGATGGAAACCACTGTTTTAAAGGAGGAAATATTTAAGATGCATCTGGTAATTTACATTAAGGCACTTTATTCTAGAATATTATGGGAAGTGGTCTAGAACTAAGGCAATTTAAAGTACTTTTTAAATGGTAAATATGGATATTTAATAGATTTCAGGCCATTTAAATCTTTTAAAACACTGTGTCAGACAGTGGTCACGCAGTTCAAATATTTCATCCTTCTTGTATCACAGATGAGTTAACATATCTAGACTTTCCTTTCCCTTCTTTGTTCAAATGCCACTTAAACACCAGTTTGGATTTCTAAGCACAGTAGTTCTGATCAGAAATATTAAAACAAAATATTATCTTTTTATTTAGATCTCTGGTTGTGGAGTAGAAGAGAAGACCCAACTGTTTTTGTCTTTCTACCATGCCTTAAGCTGCTTCACTTCAAAAATGTGCCTGGGAACAGCATGACTGATACACTCCTCAGTGATTTCTTCTTCTCTCGTCTCATGCACATGAATTGTCCTTCACATCCAGTCTAATTTAAAGGGGGCTTAGGGACCCACATTTCTTTGCAGTCTTGTTCTGTGTGCTTTCAGGATTTTCAGCTCTACTTCCTTACCCGTTCTGCCAGAGGAGAATACCCTACACTTGAGAGTAATCCCACTGCACTCAGTAGGTGAAAATGGATAGGACTGGGTTGCAAGCCATACACATGGTTCCTTTTCCTGGCAGAGGAAAGAGGAACATGAGACCTTTTAGTTCTTGCACACTTAGAAAGCATGCACTATCATTGGCTTGGCTTATTTATTTATTTCATTTATACCCCGCCCTCCCCGCACGCGGGCTCAGGGCAGCTTGTTGTCTTCCTGGTTTCAAAAGCTGTAGCAGCTCAGAACAGATAAGTCAGCAGCAACCATGTATGTATGTATGCATGCATGCATGCATGCGTGTAAGTATGTATGCATATGGTAGTCTGCCTGGGAAGTTGCTCAGCTCTAGACTGGAGCAAGCATATCCACTGCCTGCTAGGGACTTAGGAGTTGCATACTATTATTCCATATATCCAAGAACAGCTAAAGCTTCTGCCACTACCCTCTCTCTCTTTCCTCATGTCTGCTCTAGCACTGCGTATCCAACCCACCAGCCCCACCTCTGTTTTCTGGCAATTTTTTTGTTTATTCCTTACTTGTCCCTAGCTAGTAAAGAAAGGAGGGACAGGGTTACTTATCTATGGTTGAACTATTTGGAGGTTCTGAATTATGTTTTCTGGCAAAGTTTTTGTTTATTCCTTACTTGTACCTAGCTAGTAAGGAAAGGTGGGACAGGGTTACTTATCTATTGTTGAACCATTTGGTGGTTCTGCTCTTTGAGTACCTCTATACCGCTGACATGTCGTTTACCACACACTTAGATCTCTAGTACAAAACATGGTTTTCTTCACACATATACAAAATAAATTGCTGTGTTCATGGACAGCTAATTTTATTTCTCTTTTAAATAAATGTTCAGTATGCAAGAAGTAGCTGTGATTTACTGAAGCTGTGACTAAAAAATGTTAGCAGAACCAGCAAAAGGCAAGGGGTGGGGAAGCTGTTGTTTCCAGTACGAATGATTATCAGTAATGTCTGTGTGTTCCTTATGGTATTTGTTTTGCTTCTAAACTATAAAAAGAGACTTTAGCTTTCCAGTTTTGAATACTAAACTATTCTAACATTTTAAGTTAAAAGCCATTTAATTTGTTTTGATTATTAAATGTTAGGCTAATACCTTTTGACTGCAGGGTATTATTTTAGGAAATAAAAATGTCTTTCACACTTCATTCTTGTGGCACAATTCAATCTTTCTTTGCATGCATAAAGAGCAGATTGTGAAGGCTGTTGTGCACATAATCATGCTCTGGACCTGGGAGGCCAGGTGTATCTACTTCATGTATCCAGGCCCTGTGAGCATAAAAAAGTATGCAATGCCATAGCCATTTCAAGTACAGTGCACCATTATGGAGCAGTGATAAGAGGCCCCCTCACAAGCCCATCCAACGAGATACATTATTTGCTTGTAGTCTGATTGCACATTATGCCCTTACTTATGGGACTGAGAGAAAGTAGAAAGGAGCCATCTGCATTGCCCGAACTTTTGTTTGGTTCCTTCCTTCTTTTTTAAACTCCAGGTCCATAAGTGCAGGGGTTTCTAGTGAGAGCTAGTGGGAGCTTCCCTTCCCTTGGATTGTCCACTTATTCTGCAGTGGTCTGGCACAAAGCAATGTTGTTTACATTTTACACAGGCCCCATGTACAGAGATTGGATGCTGCTGATAAATAAATTGCTGACGTAGCTTCAACTGAAGCTTTATCATCGCGAGGATTTTCCACATCCCATCCTTTATTAATAAGGGTATATTTTCAATATTTAAAGATAATATTAGTGATATTGTGCTTTTTAGTCTTGACAGCAAGTCTCTGTTTCTTCAGGATCTTCAAACGTGGGTGGATGGAGCTAATGAAAATGGCTTTGTACTTGTTTCATTTGGAGCAGGAGTGAAATATTTGTCTGAAGATATAGCTCATAAATTGGCACATGCTCTGGCAAGACTTCCTCAAAGAGTTATTTGGAGGTAAGTGTTAAGATTTTTGCAATTGGTTTAAAGCATTTTTATGGTATACGGATGCTGGCCAAGAAGAATCAGAGGTGCAGCAAGAAGATACCCAACAGTGCCACTATCTGTTCTAAGCAGGGTTCTCCCCCCCCTTATTTGCCACCTTCTCTAGTTATCGTCCACACCAGGTGTGAAAGAAAGATGGAAAATGGTTTAAGGTCTCCAAAAGAGAGAGGAGGTAAATATTTCATCCAAATATTACTGAGTTGTCTCATAATTTAGTACTTCTTTTGAGCTGAGCTTTGTTTTGAACTTCTGTGTCCAGGACCTGACAACTCTAAATGTATTTGCTTAGTACTGCTTCTGAGCCATACTTGTTTTGAATTTAGGGTATTATCATTTGGAAGTCATTCAGTTCAGGGGCACAGAACTAGCCAGCAAGGCAAGTCTAATTTTTCTAGCTTTGTCACCCAAGCTTTGCATTTGGTAGCTTCCCCAAATCCAGTAATTATCATAGCATGAACATCTGTAATTGTAATATGGTGAAAACAGCTTCAGTAGTAGAAGTCAGTCTTTTCCCAGAAAATGCAGCCACACAGTCCAGTGGTAAAAGTGAAGGGTTTTGTAAAAAAATTAAGGTGTTCGAAACAGAGCAGAAAAAGAGGTAAAGGTTTTACTCAAAAAAATTGGAGCTGTTTCATTTGGACACTGGCTTTCTTATACAAGATCACTACATTGTGGTAGTTTTCATCAACTGCGAAGTGATTTAATGTATCCTTTTTGTGTACTTTGGCTTCCAGCATGTTTGTGTAACTTGTTTCTTCTCTTTAACGTTCATCACTAACTTTTTCTTATTTAATGTCCCAACACACACTGATCTACTTCTTTGACAAAAATTGAGGGGATACATAGCCTCCTAAGATTTGGGGGCATCTAGTTAATTTAAATAAAATCTTCCTTACACATTGGCCCCTTAGTTAAAATATCTGGTAGTGTCTCTAAAACAGAACATTCACTGCTGTGAGGTAAGTTCTGTTGTGAAATAGTAGAGCACTAAGGTATTTGAGGCAAGAATCAAAAAGAATAAATAAAATGGTTTATTTGTGTTGGAGAAGTTTTAAAAAAAACATTCAGCCTGCGTAGGCTTACAGACTCCATCAGGGAATAGCCTGGCTCAAGGTACTACTACTTATCTACTAGTTACAGCTTTAGGTTGGAATTCAGGTTCACTGTAACCTATGAGATCACAGACTTTAAGACTTAAACCACCACCTCATGATGATCCTCAGCCTTTTATCATTTATTAAGGGCCTTTCCCTTCAAACTGATTGTTTCTGACAGGCTTGAACAGCCTAAACACCTATTTAGTAGCATTGTTATGGGGAGGGGAATTCCTTTTTTTTCAAAATTACTTTTTAGATATACCCATTGATTCCCCTTATTCTCTCTGCAGCTTCAGCCCTTGAAGTTGTTTTATGTTACACCCCACAAGGAGGTGATTTAGCAGGGTGATAGGATGGTATGGGAAGACATTGTCTAACTCTGAACATCTACAGAGTGAAATTCTGAAATTTTGCAGAAACTTCCCTTCCTGCCCTGCTCTCTTTGAACTTCTCTTTGACCAAAACAGAATTGATTAGAAGAAAAGAGGAAAATGGAATGTTGGATTTAAGGGATAAATGGGGTAAACAGGAATTTTAGAGAATTTCTCGTAACAATGTTATGTTAGACGCTGTCACATAAACAGTGGTTCCAGCTGCATCAGACTTTCCCTTTCCCCAAGAGTCAGACTAATTGTTACAGGTTTACTCATTATCAGGGACAGGCCTAAAACCATCACTCTCCTCTTTCTGAGGTAGAGCTAACCCCTCTCTTCAGTGCACTCCTTCTGAGACAGAGCTACACTCTTGATGAGGCAGACTATACTTCCCACAACCCACATTGAGCTAACACTCTAAAAGGTGATTGGATGTTAAAGCAACATTCAAATAGGCTCAGTCACTAACAGCTAACTGGCTGTTTCACCTCCAGCAGCCAGACAGTCAGAACTTCATATATTTATTGTGTAGATTTGCATAGGGTTTTTTTTTTTAAGTTTGCTGTCAGGGGTTTTTAACCTTTGGTGTTAAGTAGAAAAGTGAGTAACAAATTCATATACACATTTCCCCCTCCCCCCCATATGAAAGTGATTTTTTTTCCCCTTGTGTGTTTTAGGTTTTCAGGAAATAAACCTAGGAATTTAGGCAACAATACAAAACTCTTAGAATGGTTACCACAAAATGACTTGCTTGGTGAGTACTGTGGGAAGTGTTTGGCCATTGTGTGAGACAGGATGCTGGACTAGATGGAACACTGGTCTGATCCAGCAAGGCTCTTCTTATGTTCTTTAAAACCTATATGCTCAGACACAAATACCCTTTTATTAACAGATTTAGGGTTTCCAGGTCCCCTCATTGCTCCAGCGGGGGGATTGGGTGGGGATGCCCCAAGCCCTGCCCCCAGGAGTGACCACCCGTTCAGTCACTCCTCTCCCTGTGGTTGTGGGCTGCATGCTGCAAGCCGAGCGTGTGGCCTGTGACTGCCCCTCTTCCTTCCTCCTGCTAGATTTAAAGGGCCCTCCAGGCAGGAGGGGGAGTGAGCAGTTGGTCGCTCTTAGAGGTGGGGTTTGGGGCAGAGCTTCTCCTACTGGCCAGCTGGCCGGGGGTGGATTGAAGCCCCCAGAAGCGGGGAACCCCCACCCAGACCTGGGGGCTGGCAACTCTAGGTAGATTACATATGTAGAATGCTTTTGAGACCTAAATGTGTATAGGAGAATAGATTGCTCCGTTGTGTAAGTCCAGACTGATAGTAACCTTATCTGTGTTGTTCATGTATACTTTGAGCAAAGCGGATGGTTTAAACAACACAGTGTATTCTTCAAGTCCGTTTCATTATAAAGACCTCTTCTAATTATTATGTCATTTGTAATGCTTGCCACTGATGTTATTTGCTTACTATTGATTTTGTAAACATATTCTTTTCCATGCACCAATACAGTAATAGAAACTACCCTACTGGTATGTGGTATACCACAATCATTACTGTAATTGCTAAGGTGATGTTGAAGGCAGACTTCCTCTGTGTTCATTCCAGACGTTTATTAAGCTGCTAACATCAGGAAGCAAGGGTGCAGATTTTTGCTCTCATATAGTTTCAAAAATGGAAGATGAGGGGTGTTGGGGAGCAATCACTTTGGGTGATTTCCCACAAGCGCTGCTCCGCGCTCACTCTTCTCTTTGGCCCAATGGTACATGTCAATTTCACACAAGCTGCTGCGCGACCGCATTTTGCCCTGCAGCTTTTTGTGATTTTCCCCGCGTCTACTCAATCCTGTTTTTTGAGGATTGAGTAGACGCGGGGAAAATTGCACGAAGCTGCGGGGGGAAATGCGGCCGCACAGCAGCTTGTGTGAAATTGACACGTACCATCGGGGCAAAAGGGAGGAGTGAGCGCGGAGCAGTGCTTGTGGAAAATCACCCTTTGTTACATGATTTTCAGGCTGCAGCAGAGGGAACACTTAAGGGAGATGGGGGATTTCCTGCTTATTCAAATACCAATTTCTATTTCAGACTCATGGATTTCTGTTACATTATATGATAAGATACATTTACATGGAAAGCAATCTTCCTCTAACTTGCCTTTTTTCCTCTTTAGGTCACTCTAATATTAAGGCCTTCCTTAGTCATGGTGGTCTGAACAGCATTTTTGAAACTATGTACCATGGCATACCTGTGGTGGGAATTCCTCTCTTTGGAGACCATTATGACACTATGACCCGAGTTCAGTCCAAAGGCATGGGAATATTACTAAACTGGAAGACTATTACTGAGGATGAATTATATGATGCTTTGGTGGAAGTTATTAATAATCCCAGGTAATGCTCTCTTTCTTTTCTTTTACCAACTTTTCACTGATATGGAAATAGAAGTTTTAAGAAGTAGCTAGTAGCCATGGCATAAATCCTGTGCTTTACGTCCTTTTGCACAGCTCTTTGACAGTTGCACAGGAGACCTTCCACTGCAGAGTGTCTTGCTCTGGCAATAGGTACCTTAAGTTCATTGAAAGACTGGTCTTATGTGAGCAGCAATGCTAAAGGAATACACACTGCAGTAAAGGATTGACTCTACAACTGAGTTCATTGCTACTCAAGAGGAAGCAAGGCATGGGATCCAAGTCTATGTGTCATAGCTTAACCTGTATAAAATTATGTGTGGATCTTGAGGCAATAGGTAACACCCCACTGAGTTGGCTGAATTTGTCTTCTTCCATTACACAGCTACCGACAACAAGCTCAGAAGCTGTCTGAAATTCATAAAGACCAGCCTGGTCATCCTGTTGAGCGAACGGTCTACTGGATTAATTATATCCTTCGGCACAATGGAGCGCAACATCTACGTGCTGCTGTTTACACCATTTCTTTATACCAGTATTTCTTATTGGATATTGCCTTTGTTGTACTGCTTGGTGCTGCCTTACTTTGCTACGTTTTGTCCAGGATAGCAAAATTTGTCCGCAAGCAGAGCAAACATCTTTGGTCTGCTGATGAACACACTGCTATTAATGGACATTACCAAAATGGGATACCAAATGGCAAGTATAGAAGAAATGGCCACATTAAACATGAAAAAAAGGTGAAATGAGCCAACTACCCCATGTACATTAGCAGTGAATCAGTTCTAGAATTGAATTTTATAGCTGTAACTTAGTTTAACACCTACTTAAAGTAAAACCTCAATAAACAGTTCTAACGCTCCCCTACAGTATGTAATCTTATGCAATTAAATTTTGCAGAACTAAGGGAAGTCTTTTTTAAGAAACCCAGAAAAAGAAAGCACAACCTAAAATGCAAAATGTATTTTTTTCTTAATACTGATGCAGAAAGGTTATTCTGGCACTGAAGTTTTTAGAAGCCTTAATTGTCTGATGTAATTCAATAAGTATATTTATGGAATCTCCATTTGTGAATCTAAATGTGTGTCCCAGATAAGGAATGATTTCCCTTTACTTGCAAGGGTGTTTCCTATTTCCCTAGATTCATTCACATGTCAGCAGAGAGAGCTTTGTTTTATTTGTCTAAGGTTCGATATGTTATCTGTGAATGATGTCACTTATAGTCATCTTTTCTCAAGTTTGGTACACAGTAGTTAACAAACTGCTGAATCAAAAGACAGCCATATAAATAATATTCTTAAAAAGCACTGAAGAATATGATAACATATACCAGACTTTTAATAGACTATTGAACTCTTCACAAGAGTACAGCAAGCTGTAATTTTTATTTTTGTATACTTTCATTTCATTTTTGTCTATCCCCAGATCTATCATTTATGCCACTGTAAGGGTGTTTTACTCCAAGAACTGAAAGGGCTGTGTGGATAGATTGGATAGTGAACAAAAATAAATGAAGGGGGTGGGGGAATCCCCAGGGTCTTTGGAGAAGGTTTTGCCATATCCCTTGAGCAATGCAGAATCAAAACATTGTGGAGGTTTGTTATAAAGTTGAATGTCTTTCCTTTTAATTAACTGCATTATTGCTATGGATATTATTACAATTAAGTCCCCCCCCCTCTAAATCACAGTGTTTCAGAAGTTCACTTTCAATAGTTCTAATTGTGCTCTTTATACTGGTCTGGGTCACACAATCCATGTCACGTAGTTGCCAACATCAGTTTTTGGAATAAAATGGATGGTTGCCACCATCTTAATAGAGGTTTGATTTCATGCATGACATTAAACCTGATTAGAATGTTTGCCTTTTCCCATGTCCACAGTAGCCTTTTAGCACAACACTCTTTGAATCACTGTATTGATACAGGACGTTTCTGTCTTTAACACAAAAATGGGGACACAGGACATTGGATATAAAATCAGGACTGTCCTGTTGAACCCGCGTTGGCAACTATGAGTTTATTAATTTCCATGTCATTCTGTTTACTTGGAATTTGCACTACACATGTTGTGAGTGTATGCTTTATTTATTTGCATTTTCAAATCCCATGTCTGACAGCAAGGTGTGTGGGTCCATTTACTGAGTACTGTTCACTAACATGGGAAGAGTTCCGAAACAATACAGAATGCTAAGATCATTTTCATACGCAGTGACATTACATTTCATTTTGTCTCATCAGGAGCCTCGATCTTAATAGCAATAAAGTAGCATTGCAAATATATTTCTAATATTCAGTGCAAGCAATTGTACTGCTTTCCAAATACTTGAAGAAAATATTATCAGTAAGTCTGTTAGCTTTATCTTTTTACAATCTTATCAATATGTGGCAACTAAAGGAACACAGAAGAGGCAATGAATGGTGGGAAAGTGACAGAACCTAGAGTGTATGGATGAGTTTTAATGTTTTTCGTATTGAAGAAGGTACACAAGCACTGACCGGATGATTAAGAATAATTTAATCTCCACTGTGATAAAAAACTTAAGCAATAAACATGGATTTAATACAGAAACAAATTGTTGGAAGCACATTTTTGTTCAAACATGTTTGTCCATTAATGTATACATGAATAATATCTTAATTCATGATTCTTGTGCCTCAAAAATAATGATATGAATAGGCTTTAATTTTCTAGGCCTTGTTTGCACAATCCATTATGCTGAAATAATGAGCACTGAAATTACTCCAGCTTCTGATTTGTTTTGTAAGAAAGTAGCTCCTAGGCAATTATTCCTTGAAACAAAATGTTTTCATTTCATGATGACAAAACCACAGTGCTTATCTTTTGGTATTCAGGAGTGCTTAATTTAGCGAGCAATCCTGAACAAGTCTACTAAAATTCAGTGCTATTCAGTGAGACTTACTCCCACAAAAGGGTTCTTAGGATTGCACCATTAGTTACCCAAGAGACCAAGAAAGTGATATAAATGGTACTTTTTATTGAGTCTTTTTCTATGTTCCCACTTTCATACACAGGGAGGGGAAAACAAACTTGACCCAAAAACTGGAATCAAGAACCACAAGGGTAAGAAAGAAGTTTGATAAAGGGCCAATATTAAAAACCTAGTGTGAACTTATAAAAAAAAATGCATGTATTTATTAGAAAGACAGTTAAAAACAAATAAGGGCCCAATGGAAGCCTCATTACAAAGTGCAAGTGCAGGTACGCAAGGTCCAATACAAGTGACCTGACGTGTTTCTGCCCTATGGGGGACCTTCTTCAGAGGGCAAACAGTTCAAGGTACACATGTTACAATATTACATATTACAATGAAATAACCAATAAGTTAATATTGGACCAAAAAAGGAAAGCTGTAGAAAAAAGAAAATTGAATATGAATTATCATTTTTTAAAAAACTTACAGTGTGGTAAAAAGGGCCTGCTCTGCGGGGAGGGTGGGGTACAAATCTGACAATAAATAAATAAATATATTACTTACTTACTTACGCAGCAAGATCAATAGACACAAGACAAGGATGTTTATGAAGCCTCTAAATATGAGAGTCATGTGTCTGGTGCCAAATGCCCAGCTGCTGAATGAGAACATCTAAAAAATAAAATATATTTTAAAAGCTAGTATAGTAAATAAAGGAGCTGCGGTGGCTCAAGTGGTTAAGACGCTGAACTCCAGGCTGTGGAAGGTCAGTAGTTCAGCAGTCCGAGACCCGGGTGCCGCATGACGGAGTGAGCTCCCGTCTCTAGTTCCAGCTCCTGCCAACCTAGCAGTTCGAAAGCAAGATATTGCAAGTAGATAAATAGGTACCACTTCAATGGGAAGGTAACACCGTTCCGTGCGCCTTGGCGTTTAGTCATGCCGGCCACGTGACCACGGAAACATCATCGGACAGCGCTGGCTCTTCGGCTTTTACCTTTACCTATAGTAATTAAAAGCCAATATAATAGCTGGAATTGAAAAAATCAATAATGTAAAAATTACCTTCCAATTCTGGTCCAAAAAGTACCTATGTGACGATCTTAGTCAAAGCTTGAATCTCCTTAAACAAATAGCAGTGCTATTGACTAGGTGTGGTTAACTTTTAGTTTGGTGTTGGATGATGCAATCCTAGTAAAATGCTTAGTCATGGCTGATGCATTTCCAAAGGAATGCTTAGCCATGGGTACACATGCAGGCTCTCTAGTAGTGTGGTAGTAGATACAGACATTGAATCCATTTAAACATTAAATCCATTTAGGAACAGCAACATAAATATTAAACTGTCATAAATTCACACTGCATACCAGTCCACCTGTTCATTCAAGCCAAAGAGAGTTAAAGATGTAAGAGCATGAATTCAAAATAGTTCTCTGCCCTTCAAACATCCAAACTGGAGATTACCAGCTCGGACTTGTTCCAGTGCCAAGAAGCGAAAGTCTCTGTCGCTGTGGCTGGCTGTTGTAAAATGATTCACCAATGGAGCATTTTTCCTTTTCAGATGGATGCAGCTTCTATGCGCCCCTATCCTGATCTTAATCAGCCTAGATGTATACCCCACATAGATAAGATCACATTTACACACTATTGCATATATGAGGTTCCTTGAGTTGCAGTTAAAAATGCTTTAATGGAGTACTTTTTTTTGCTTAAGAGAGTCATGGCAAAAATCTGTGCAAAGCATCAGACCACAAACTGTACACCCCACATATGGAAAGTTGCCAGCTGGTATACTCCTACCATCCACTCCACTCTGTATTACGGGGGATGATTTTAAACTGCTTCTAACAAGCATGTCTCTCAGGTTTTTAGATCAGCGATAGGAGAAGACATAAACAGATCATCCCCTTTGGTGCCAAAAACTAAACAAGGTCGTTCTGATAGAATTATTATTCCATTGACCTACAATGGGAGATCATCTCAAGTTAGCAACATTATCAGAAAACATTGGCACCTACTTGCCAACGATCTTAGATGTGAGGCAGTCCCCCTCTTTGCCTATCAGAAATGTAACCATGACTAACCTCTAACCAAGAGGTCCTTTTAATTGAACTGAACTGCCATCCAACCCTTCTGTGCAACCACTACAGTGCAGAGATGATTGACTAATAATTTTAATGAATAAGTTTGTTAATACAACAATCATGGGATGGAATAGTTGACAAACTGAAAAAAACTAGAGGCAGGTAAAGATTGTCAGGGTACAGAACCCAACAAAGGCAAGTATGTCTCTGGCAGGGGTCATTTCCTGTGGGAGCGCACAGGAGCGGAGCTCCGGCAGTAAGGAGCCCAGGGGGTGGGCACATGCAACAAGCCCCACCCTCTGCTCCCAGCAGCCCACAGTCAGGCCACGAGGAGCAAGAAGCAGCCAGGTAAGTTGCAGAGCCCCCCTCCCGGCCCGCCTTCAGGTACAAGCTCTCCCTTCCTCTGTGAGGGCAGATCTGCGCGTTCCCCCCCCCCATAGCTAGCAATCCAAAACAGTCCAGTGGCACCTTTAAGACCAAGGTTTATTCAGGTACAAGCTCTCCCTCCTCTGTGAGGGCAGATCTGCATGCCCCCCCCAATAGCTAGCAATCCAAAACAGTTCAGTGGAGCCTGAGCGGTGGGTGTTGCCTTCTGACACTCCCCCGGTGATGTCAGGGGGTGTGGCATATGCAAATAAGCTATGCAAGTAAGTTATGCTAATGAGCTCCTGTACCTCTTTTTCTGTTAAATGACCCCTGGTCTCTGGGAAGGGTAAAATTAATCATTTAGATGTTTCAAGTGAACTATTAAAGAAAACTCGGAATAATGAACAGGGTCATAGTATTATTGATCAGCAGTACAGATAATTGAGAGTAGGCTTTTATGTTTTGCCTTGAAAACCTTGTGGGGTTGCTGTAATTCAGCTTCAACTTGATGGCACATTCTACCACTAATCTGTAAAAAGTGAACAGTTCAAACATATTCTGTGAACGTGCATGTCATAAAGTTGCTGATCTAAAACGTTTGCTCAGGAAAGAAGACCGCAATAGCTTCAGCCATGCCTTCGACAGACCTTTTAAGGAAATCCATTGCTGACATTAGAGCTTTGGAGTTTGGAGAATTCATGAGAAAAACTCCATGAGATGCCACAGCTGCTTGTGGAGAGGCACCATAGTCTCCCCAGAGGATTAGGTAACACACAGACAAGTTATGGGTTGGATACAACCAATTTTCCTTGGGTGAAAAAGGGTACAGAACCCAACATAGAAGGAGTCTCCAATGGCCACCTGAAAGGTTATTTTAGGGGTCATGGAATCTACATGGACAAAAGCCGCATAGGACAGGGGCTGTAATAAGGAAACTGAAAGAGTGAGTGAATAAGCTGGCTA